TACATATCTATGATAACAAGTGCACATTCACACACATATACATATAAACCTAAATACACACATATATACACAGATTTTTATGCACACATACTTACATATATAAAAACAGTCATGATATACCAAAGTTTCCATACCCAGACATACATACAAACTCATACAAAATAGGTGCCAACACACACATATATACATACACAAACATACATAAATATATATACACACATACATACATATCTACAAATAAACATATATATAAATATATCTATCTGCAATAACAACTACCAATATATACATGCATACATAAAAATACAACAACACTCAACCAAATACATATATAAACGTACTAACATATAGATACATAAATATACATTCAAATACCAACACACAGCAATATACAAATAGCCTAACCTACAAATATATAAACACATTCATACAAACAGAAATATACTTAAATATAAATATACATACACAATAAAATAGGACACATACAGATATATACATATATACACACAGATATATATATATATATATATATATATATATATACACATACATACACATATACACACACATACATATATATACAAATATATAGTGGCACAAAGCCGAAATTAGGGGGCACCCAGTGAGGAACGAACTCATTACTCAGTCGCAATTGATCTAGCGAACCATGCTTGCCAACCATTATACCACCGTGATGTTATCATACATACACATATACATATTTATATATATACACATACACACACATACATACATATACACACATACACACATACATATATATACATATACACATATATATATATATATATACATACATATATATATTTACATATATACATACATATATACATACACATACACACATATGCACACATATACATACATATACACACACATACATATATAGGCACACACATATACATATACATCAACAATTATTAACCTTTTCTCTTCTAATCTACCATACCTTCCCACATTATATATATACACACACACACATATATATACACCCCCACACACATATATATATTTAGAAAAAACATATAAATACACTTATATTCAAACCTACACATTCCTCAGTGCAAATACTCTAACCAACACATAAATAAATATATACACATATACACCAACAATAATAACACTATGCAGGTAAACAATACACATTTATATCGTAAGTCTGACCATCATGCAATAAAAATACTAATCTATTAAAAATACAGCGACATATCATTATCATTTAAAGTATACGACCTCTACACTAAATTAAATTTATAACGGTGTTTACAATTAACTGTAAGTTCATATCTTTGATTTAAGAGATCAGCCTTGTTTTTAAATCTAATAATTTCAAATTTTTCATTAAGGCATACGTAACATGGGGCATCTAGGAAGTTACATGTCCGAGCTTTCTTAACCAAATTCCATTTAACCGTAGGTGTTTTGTTCTTATCTTTTAGATTCCAAAAATACTTGGATAATGAAGTCATGTACCTATATTCACTGTGATTAAAGGATTGCATATGCCCCCGCCAGCGTTCCTTGAATGTTTTCATGGTGCTACCAATGTAAAACTTCTTTATATTTGGATTTCAATTGTTGAAATAGTACTAAGATAGACTACAGAAGTAATCCCACAGTTATTTTGTAGTGGACAATTATTCGGATTCCTACAATTACATAAGTTGTTATTTGTATTATTATATTTAGTATTGCAGTTAGTAAGCCTTTTGAATTCCTATACTTGTTAAAGACTATGTTGTTATGTTTTTAATTATCTTCTCAGGTTATCAGCACAACTATAGCTTAATTTAAAGGGTATTAGGATTAAATATTTTACTAAGTGGGTTAGTTTCATGGTTGGGGAAATGTTTTTGATGAGGTTTAGAAATATACGCCCTAATTTAGTTTTAACCATTATATTGAAAGGGGAGTGAACCAAATAATCTTTCTAGATCTTCTTTTCTTATTATGGTTGCAATTAACAGGGTTTTTATATTGAATAGTGGTATTTTTTTGTATCCACTATTTTTAGTGCAGAATTGTAAAAAATCACTATGTTTATTAAAAACCTCCTTATTATAAGAGCTAGCGCTAATTCTAAATTCAATGGAAGAGGGTATATGTTTGATAACCGAAGGGAGATGGTTGGAATTAGGATGCACGCATAATGGGTTGGAATTAACCTTCACATATGGTTGGAAAATGTTGTTAGCAAGATCTAGGGTGACATCTAGAAAATCCACTTGTCTAACATTAGTAGTAACTATTGTCCTAAGACCTAAATCCTTAAATACCCTATAGATCATTTTCCTAATACGGTCTACCTTAATTTTAGTCGAGTTTTTAACAACTAATAATCCATCATCTCTATACAATCCTACACTATCTGAATCTAGGATCGTTAATTAATCTGAAACTTTTAAAACCATTTATTTTATTTTCAACATCATCACTTGATAAGACACAGAGTGTGTTGAAACAAAATGGCTTTTTTGTAGTGATTTTATAACATATTTATGTTATAATTTTTTTATAAAAAATAATTATATATATATATATATATATATATATGCTCCCGGGAAATCCCGTTGAACTCTTAAGAGAAAGGGTTTACAGCACCTGGTATTCCCAAGCAGTCACCCATCGACTGCTATTAATGCATTACTTTTCAAGTATGAATTGATTTCTTTGGAGCATCGGCGTACTTCCTATAGGAAAAAACGTTAAAATTTCCCTTCCTCCCTACCGTGCGACGATAGCCTAGGGGTATGATCTCTGACTCATATCAGTCGGGTTTCGATTCCGGCTTGAAGCAATCGGACATCTAGCCACACTGGAGAGCTTCCATACAGCCAAACAGTCTGTCTGTGTATAGAATATATATATATATATATATATATATATATATATAAACTTTCAATCATTCATGAGCTTAAAGTTCTTAGCTATAGTTAATTAATGATTAATATGTAATAAATATATATATTCTTTTATGATTGAAGTCATCACGGTTCTTTTGTTAAGCTTGGAGAGTAAATATACATTCGTATTGCTCAAAGTAGAGTTCAGTAGTTTTATAAAACCGAATAGTTGCCATCAAAATATTTATAAAACGGACCCTACGATGTAACCTTAAAGCCAAGCCGCCAGATCAGGACCAATAATCTTGCTGATTCGTATTTGGATATTTGAATCTTATCATGGACCTCTAGCTAAATTGCCGGGGCACCGGACCATATATGGCAGCAATATTCTAAGCACGGACGAATGGTAGATTTATAGATATACAAGATAGATTCAAGAGAAAAGAATTGTCTCGCCCGAAACAGTGGACCGATTTTTAGCAGCTGACCTAACAATGGGTTCTATATAATATTTCCATGTCAGCTGATAACGTTAGCTCAAGAAAGTGCAATAAGTCATTTTCGTGGAAGATAGCATCAGCCATGATGATGCAATGCGGAGAGGAATAAAGATAATTCGTCATCACAGAAATCCCCTAAATGTTAGCCGGATCGGCAAGCATCTGATGAAGGTCAAAATGAGCTACGGCCGAAACGTTGTGATAGAAGGAAAAAGATGAAGAAAATATTTCTCATATGAACAATGTAAATAATAATTCCTTATTCGAGAAATTCCCTGGAAATTAAACGGATCAGCAAGCACCTGATGAAGGTCGGAATGAACAACGATCGAAACGTTGTGGTACCAACGACAATGATGAGGAAAATATTCCGTATTTGAATAAGAGTAATAACAGTAATGTATAATGATAATTCCTCATCACAGAATTCCAAACAGGATTAAATATAATAGTTTGATTAATCCGTGGAAAACAATTTCTTTGGTACATTTTTTCCTTTTAAAGAATTCACAACATTAGGGCAACGTTTTTCAACTTTATTGCAAACAAGGAAGTTAAAATCTTCCATAATCAATCTCGAGTTCTTCCAGTGTATCAGAGGATAAAAATGTAAAGGAGTGAATAATCGATAAATATCAAAACCTTTCGCGAAATCTGTAAAGATTATGTAACATAATTGTGAAAATTTTGTATCAGGAACATTCTGAAGAAGTGGCTGGGAATTATGGATATTCACACTAACGATCAGAACGGTGTTGATATTCCATTCTTTCATTCAGTTCAAATTAAACCATTTATAGACTTATTTTTTTCGCAACATCGATATCGCTTAAATGATTCAAATCGGTTCTCATATTCTAAGACGAGTGAGCAATCAATGGACATCAAGACAAAAATGCAATGATTATACAACATAAAGTCAAAGTAATGATCTTGGAACATACAGATATCCTTTGAGAGTAGGCAGCGAAATACGGATATGAATCGCGAAAATGCAGCTCAGAGTGGTCAATCTTAATTAAACACATCTAATATATAGATATCAGTAATAATTGTTGCGTATATATGCACAGACGTTTGACTTTAATGCAAAATCATATGCCCAAATACATATCTACATACATGTCGCATATACAAATAAAAAAATTCAAATACACATAGCACTAAAATTCTGTCATAAGCTCAAATTCTTCCAGTAGGCCGTTGAATAAAAATGTAAAGGATTAATAGTCAATAAGTATCAAGACCTTGCCCAATAGATGCAACTTGAATTTACGATGGGGACATTTGTAGAGTTTGGTTTGGGTTGCTTTTTAGTGACACATCAACCTCTATGAGTTTTTGTTGCCGAAATCTAAATATTCTGTAGCAATTTTATTTTCATTTTTTGAGATAATAATTGTTTTAATGATACAAGTCATACTAATTAACCCATACTTTGGTTTTAATGATACAAGTCATACTAATTAACCCATACTTTGAGGGTGAATAGGTGGATTCATGTCTTTCTCAGTAATAGGTGGACTCATGCCTTTCCTACAGATATTTGCGCATCAGAGAATTGGAATTGTAACTTGGTTGTCCAATTAAAACTTCCGTGCCGTTATCCGTTATACCTCCTGGACATCCAAGGTTACAGCATCTGGTATCACCAAGCAGTCACCCATCTAGTTGCTGACTAGGCTCAACGTTGCTTAACTTCGGTGATCTTACAGGATTCGGTGTTTCAACGTGATATGGCCGTACGTCATGCTATCTGCAGATTCAAGCTTAGAGCACCTGGTATTACCACGCAGTCACCCATCTACGTATTGACCAGGCTCAACGTTGCTTAATTTCGGTAATCGTACAGGATCTGGTGTTTCAACGTGATGTGGCCGTAAATCATACTACCTTCAAACGCCTAGTATTCCCAAGCAGTTACCCATCTAGGTACTGACCAGGCTCAATGTTGCTTAACTTCGGTAATCGTACAGGATCTGGTGTTTCAACGTGATGTGGCCGTAAATCATACTTCCTTCAAACGCCTAGTATTCCCAAGCAGTTACCCATCTAGGTACTGACCAGGCTCAATGTTGCTTAACTTCGGTAATCGTACAGGATCTGGTGTTTCAACGTGATGTGGCCGTAAATCATACTACCTTCAAACGCCTAGTATTCCCAAGGGGTTACCCATCTACGTACTGACCAGGTTCAACGTTGCTTAACTTCGTTGATCGTACAGGATCCGGTGTTTCAACGTGATTTGGCCGTAAATCATACAGCCCAAGCCGCCACCCATCGAGGTACTGAGCAGGTTCGAGGGTGCTTAACTTCGTTGATCGTACAAGAATTTTTCACTATGAACTTACAGAAAAAAAAAACCTTGTGGGATGACTTGTAAATATGGATGAGATAATGATCACAGCGGTGTTGATTTTTATTTTTTTCATTTTTCATTCGGTTCAAAATAGAACCATTTATAGAATTTCTTTTCCGCATCAATCTCGCTCAAATGATTCAAAACACTTCCAATATTTAGTTTTCGAAAATATTTTTTTTATGTGCAGTCGTTTGAATTTAATACAAAAAAAAAAATTAGTCGACAGTTGTCGAAGTCACTGAAATTTCGATTTCTTTTATTCATTTAATCTATAAGTGGTTAGAAAGATGAGTTTCCACATATCCCAACTCATTCTCCTCACTGTTTTATTCTGGAAGAGCCGAACGATGATGTAAATATTGGATTCCGGTTTTTAAAACATCCTCATTGATTTCATCTTGACACAATTCGTATCGATCGTACGTTCAGTCGAACTAGTTTCAGTGCGATATGTATTTGCCTCTTACATTTTTTTTCTTTTGTTCTGCTTGCAGAATTTCGTATCGTTTTTATTAAATACAATCGAGCACATGTTATTGAATATATTCCTAACCGGCCAGAAATTGTTTCAGATGAATCATTAATGTTGAGAAAAACACATAACAGAAAACCAAAAAGAAATACTTGAAGATTTCAGTCGAGGTTAGGTGAACTAATGTCCGTACTTTTGTATTTTGTATTTCTTATATCTATCAATTCCAATTTGAAAAAAAGTGATGCAGTCGTTTAGAAATTGAAAAGAGACGCCTGTAAGCATCAAAGAATAAACTAAAGATGTTTCTCAGAATTAATGGCAAAAAGAGTGACGTGTAAGAAGTAAACTGATATTCAAAATCAGCTGGGAGCCTGATTGAAAGGGTTCGGGCAGGGCGTTGTGACCCTCACTGTCTTATCAACATTTGTTTTTTTTACCTACATTTATATACGTTATAAAAGTAAACTAAGTCCAACTGACTATTAACGAATAACATTTTTGGTAGATGTTGACGTCATTCTGGTGTTTTTGCGTTCAAATCCGTGAAATTGTTTTGCTCATGCTAAATATTGGATAAGTGCTGTATAAAATTCACTATTTTTTTAAACTATTATGTTCAAAATTATTCAACTTTTGAACAATAATATTCTCAAGTTGGTTTTGAAAATTGATCCTAAAACATTATTGATTTACTTAAGACTAGTAGTATAACCCGTTTTTGACCGGTTCATTCATTACTGGGAATGTTTGTCGTTCTATTGGAGCAATTTAAGTTTAAAGTCATCCCACCCGAAAAGCACCCTTAGTAACAATACATTGTAATTATTGTCAATTTTTCTAGATGAATTACTCATTTATATTGCATATGATAAATTATTGTACATAATAAGGTTGCTATTACAGCAGCGTTTTGCAGGAATATTACCTTATGAAAATTGCTATGTAGCAGAGTTCCGTATGATAGATTAGGGAAGACTGACCCCTATCACAGATTGGAGGGAGCACAAGAACGTTCCAACATACCTGTTCCAATATTTATTGGGCGTTAAACACTCATACAGGGATTTATTCTTTATAATAATTATTGCAATAATAATTATAATACATTTTGTATGAGGCCTTTGCTATGTAATTAGAGACTGTACAGAGAAGAATCTGCAATGTTATTGGTTCTGACCTGGTGTCTCGGCTCCAGTCTTTTTCCCAGCACAATAACGTGCATTCTCTGCGTCTTTTTTACAAGCATTTTCATAGAGATTATTCTGATGAGTTTTCCTCTTTCTTAGACTTTATAAATTTATACGCAGTACGAAATTGTTTCAGTTTACAGTTAAAATGGCTAGCTATAAGCGTAACTTCTATGATGAGGTTTTCTTCTCTGACACTCCACGATTACAAGCAATGCTAAATTAGCTATTGTTTTCTTCATTTCTATGATTCTATTTTTGTTGTGGACCCAGAATAAGTCCGAAAGAAAACTGGATCACAGCAATTTAGTGAAAACATATTATTAACAAAAAGAACGAATACAAAAGTGTTGCACGTCCGTAGTACAGTAGTCAACTCGTCAACTGTAGACAGCGATATTTAGTTACCCCTCCCACGAGGTTTACATGTGGAACAAGGCCGGTTTAACGTGGGATCTCCGAGCCCGTAGGCTCGGCCAAAAATAATCCCTCTTTGAACCGGCATAAACGTGTTCAGGGGCAGTCAACCTACCCGAACGAGACTCTGCCCTTCGGCGGAGCCTCGTCCGGGTTCCTCTCCACTCGAAGGCAGAGAGTTCGACTGTTTAGCTGGAACAGGTCAACTGTAGACAGCGATATTTAGTTACCCTTCTACGAGGGTTATATGAGGCACAAGGCCGGTTTAACGTGGGATATCCTAGCCCGAAGGCAGAGAGTTCGGCTGTTTAGCTGGAACAGGTCAACTGTAGACAGGTCCCTTGAGAGGCATAATCTCCCAGTATATATAGTAATAGAACGAGTCCATTTAGTCCATAAAGGTAGGTCCCATAACAATTTTGCTCTCTCTTTACGAAAGTTTTCTTTTTCTCATATTCTCTCACAATCAGCAACCCGTTGCCTCTTAGTGGATATAGTTACTTTCTTCAGGGGAAAGGATTAAAAGAAAATGCAGCTCTTAGTAAGGGTGGACTTTTTAAGAACCCCCCCTATTCTCCGTTCTGCCATCTATTTCCACACGTTAGTCACTCCTCTCCTTTGTCTCTCTTGCATTCAGTTTGTCTTGTGAGTGTCAAATTCTCCAAGGTTTCCTTCCTCATTATATCCTCTAGATCTTTCAACTGGCTTTTTGCCATTGTAAGCGTCCTGTATGCTTCCACTTTCCTTATAACTCCCCCGTGACTGACATGTTCAATCTGTGTTTATCTCATTATCCTCCTGTAGAACAACATTTCACTTTCTCTTCTACATCTGTGAGGAGATTGATATCCTCGTCACTACTGCTGTAATTCCGTATTCTGCAATGGTACTATTTTTGTTGAAATGGAAGACATGAAGCTGGATTAAAGTGTTACAAGCCTTTATGAATCGAGATAAGGAATGCTTTATAAATCTTCTGATTTGATAGAAAGATCACGTGGTAGAAGCATTTGTCATCTAACGTAAGAAAAAGCGAGTATTTTTATGACTCAATTGGGTCACAGATATTATAATTATTATAAATAGCTTTAAGCCATGAAGACTGAGTAAACCCATGGCTAGTTCTACGACAGCAAATTATCCACAGAAATGTCGCAGAGTTAATATTTGATCTTACCAACCTGTTGTAAACTAGGGAAGGTTACTGAATAGAATAATCACACGAAGGTTGGTAATGAACGATAATACTTAGGACAAGAACAACACATATAAGATCGGCCAGCGGTGCGAGGTAGTAGTCAACTGCTAGAAGTGAGTCCAGTGAATTCCACTATGAATCTCTAACTGGAGGATATCTACCAACCGCCCCGCACGGTCAGATATGGCACAAGGCCGAATTAGATGTGGGGTATCCGTGCCCATAGACTCGGTCAAAATTTCCCCGTAGACGCCGTATAAAACGGGGTCGAGTAGCTGTTTCCCGAGACGAGATTCTGCCCTTCGACATAGCCTCGTCTAGAGATCGAAGGCAGAGAGTTCGACCAACACAAGTGAAGATGAATCTCCGACTGCAGGATATTTGCCAACCGCCCCCACGTTGTCAGATGTGACACAAGGCCGAATTTAACGTGGGGTTTTCGAGCCCGTAGGCCCGGGCAAAAATTCCCCGTAGACCCCGTCAAAAACGGGGTCGGGTAGCTGTCTACCACACCAGACGAAACTCTGCCCTTCGGTATAACCTCGTCTGGGTTCCTCTCTGCCCGAATGCAGAGAGTTCGACCAGCACAGCTGAAGACGAATCTCCAACTTCAGATCATATACAGTATTTACTACTGTATTTATGTGAATGGGAAATACTCATTATCGTCTGTAGGTATTCTATAACACAACCATAATAAAATATTAGAATAACACTCATTCATATGATTCAGTTTAAGAAGTGGGTACAAATGAAATGATTCGAAATTGGCAACTTTTTCCATTAAACATTTCTATCTTCCTTTCTTTATTTCTTTTATTTTCTGCCTGTCTTTCTTTCTTTCTTTTTCTCAATGAAACAAAGTAGCGTATTTTTTATTCTTTCCCTGTGATCAAAACGGAATTGTTCATTTTTTATGAGGCATTAGCAGGAGACGTTGCCTTCCTTCCTTCCTTCCTTCCTCGCTTCCTTCCCTCCTTCCTTCCTTCCTTCCTTCCTTCCTTCCTCGCTTCCTTCCCTCCTCCTTCCCTCCTCCCCACACTCCTTCCTTCCTTCTTTTCTTCCTTCCTTCCCTCCTCCCTTCCCTCCTCCCTTCACTCCTTCTTTCCTCCTTCCTTCCCTCCTTCCTTCCCTCCCTTCACTCCTTCCTTCCTTCCTTCCCTTCCTTCCCTCTTCCTTCCTCCTTCCTTCCCTCCTTCCTTCCTTCCTTCCTTCCTTCCTTCCTTCCTCCTTCCTTCCTCCTTCCTTCCCTCCTCCCTTCACCTCCTTCCTTCCTTCCCTCCTCTCTTCCCTCTTCCCTTCACTCCTTCCTTTCTTCCTCCTTCCTTCCCTCCTTCCTTCCCTCCTCCCTTCACCTTCCTTCCTTCCTTCCTCTTTTCCTTCCCTCCTTCCTTCCTTCTTTCCTTCCTTCCTTCCTTCCTTCCCTCCTCCCTTCACTCCTTCCTTCCTTCCTCGCTTCCTTCCCTCTTTCCTTCCCTCCTCCCTTCCATTCTCCCTTCACTCCTTCCTTCCTTCCTTCCTTCTGTTTTCTCAGTGAAACGAAGTAGTATATTTTCTCCTCTTTCCAAGAGATCAAAACAGAATAGTCCATAATTTATGAGTTATTAACAGAAAAC